TTATTCATATGGCGCTGCTTATGTCGGTCGCATGAGTGGTTCTCATGTTTTTCTACTTGTTGTTTTGGGAGTCAAATGTGATGCTTTCTTCACCAGATTTGACTTTGGCTTTTTACCGGTAAAAACTGAGACTTATTGCACCAAAGATAAAATTGTTTGGACGTTGTACTAATATTAAAAGTTGTTTCAGCTACATCAGCAGGAACAGTTAGCTGATCTATATCTCCTTCTCAATGGCTTTCTTGAAAATGACGTCACGCCAGGTTCAAGCGCCATATTGAAGGATGACAAACGCATTGCCAACAAACAACGTGCCCAGTGACCTTCATCATAAGTGCTGTTTTATCTCTATTAATGTACTTTTGTCCCAAAACATGGGATGTGTCATTTCTGAAATCTTTGAATGCACTGACTCCATTCACAAGAGGACAAACAATGTTATGCCAGAATGAGTCTGGTGTGTGTGTGAATGGTTGGTGGTGGTGGGAGGGGCCAATGGCACAAACTGGTTGCCTCACTTCTGTCTGTGTGCCCCAGGGCAGCTGTGGCTACAGTAGTAGTTTATCACCACCGTGTTTGGAGAGAAAGAATAATGACATGTAAAGAGTCTGTGAGTGTCCAAAAAAGCACTATATAAAACCGATGCATTATTATTATTATTAATGTCCGTATTTGTTGTTGGTGGAAAAACCGCGGGGTCCGTTGCTTTGGCGGCTAGCTCATATGGCTCTAACGCTACATTGCTAACAGAGGTGAGCTTAGCTAGATACTGGCCTTTGGCATCCTTGTTAAGTTTCTCCCTGTAAGCTTTCTTCTCTTTCATATTGTAGAATGTCCATTTTGCTGAAAAAATATGGACTCTGACAGCTTGATTGACAGCTGCTATCCCCTCAGTATGGCAGAAAAAGCTATACTTTAGAAATGTTTAGAAATGTTTTATTATGACTTGTTCTTCTCTACTTTTGACTTGTTTGCTATTTGACCTGTATTTGTTATTTGTTACATATTGTTGGGCTAATTAAAAAGCCTGCCTCACCATTGGTCTCTTACAGTCATTCATAATCTCCAAAACATGGCTAAAGAGGACAAAAACATTTCTGGATGGGTGTGTCAACTTTCAATAACAACCGAATATGTTGCAGCGCTTGTGTGTCAGCGATGGTGTTGTATGTACATGTTGTGGTGTTTTATTGTAAATGTACAGCTGTGAAGATGAAGGTCCCTGTGTGTGGGCCTCTGTGTCTGTGTGGAGCTGTCCGAGGTCCTGGTCCTGGTCCAACCCACTACACTCCTCCAGCCTCATCATTGTCCCCGCTTCACCCGTCACTACTCACTGCAAACATGATCAAATATGAGGTAATAATTGTTTGAATGAAGGGTTTTGTATTGTTATTTGAGTACATTCTGACTGTGTTTAAACCATATTTGCCGATGGAAAAAAGCCATTTAGTCTTATTTCAAAAGCTGTTGCATTTTCTTCAAGGGAGACATTTCTTGTATCTTTTTAAAAACAAGAACATTTTGCTTGGTCCCATTGGAAAAACTTGTTTAAAGGCACTTATTTTTCATCACTTTTTGCAGTGTGTCCCAGATTCTCAATATTTTCTCTGTATAATTTTACTATTTTGGCTTCTTTGGTGAATCCAGGCTTTCCTATTTACATTTTTGACTCCAGATTGATAGTTTTGGTCCAGACTTTGACAATTGCAGATTTTACCTCAACCCCCAGCCTCTAAGATAAGACAAACTTTATTGATCCCATAATGGAGAAACTTACATGTCACATTTGGAATTTGCGGCCCAGTTTATTTTTTTGTTCTTAAAACCTTGATTACGTTTGTTGACTGTTGTGTTTGCTCATGTGATTCCCCGTCATCACAACACTGGGCATTGTCGGTCAGAACACACGTTAGCATACATTCTGATCTTCTTCCGTTTTGTCCTGGCGGCACTGGAAAGTTGAGGCTTGTTCTGAACTTCACAAACTGGCCCTGACGCCTGTGGCTCCGGGCGGCCCTTCATGTTAAACCGTTTGTGATCAAAGCGAACACATGCTTCCTCCAGCAACAGTGAAGGTTTTGAAGCATGTTTGCGCTGAGATGCCCCCAGCGCTTATGTCTAAAGTACCTGCATTTGCACGAGAAGAAGACAAATAAATAAATATGATGGAAGCTGTTTATAGATTTCTGTAAGAATATTATCTCAGAGAGGAAAAAAGATTGAAATGAAAAGTTTAGTCATAATAATATCTGTTGCTATGGCTTTAACTAATGTTAGGGCTGTGATCCTGATTGTATTGATAACTGATTAGTTTACAGTTTCTTTGAACAATTAGTTTGTTGCTTGGAGATTTTCTACGTTTGAGCAGTGACACCCATGAAGAACATGAGAGATTACTTGATACACATGATTGATTAAAAGTACCTTGTAAACACGTTTTCATGTTGAAGGCGAAGTAAAGGTAGTATATTGCAGAAACATGTCGAGTAATTAAGCAGAACTAGATTCTTTGCATTTTTTGTCTCATAAAAAGAACCACCTTAGACTTAAACATTCAAAGACAAATTTAACTTTTATATATTTAACGTTTTAATTCCATTTTGATGTCACACAAAAAATATCAGTGTCATCAAACCTTGTCTCACCATGTTTAGGTCCATGGAAGTTTCTAAAAATTATTAATGGATTACTACATTAGTAACTATTTCAGTTATTGGTATCATTTTTTACTGCTTCAGGTCTTTTTATCAACTACTGGTTGAGATTTCTTTCAGCAGCCTTGGTTACTTGGTTACTTTGGAGTTTGCATGTTCTCTCCGTGTCTGCGTCTGTGTCTGAGTTTCATTATTTAGATTACTTTATTATGAGGAGGATCGGTGTCGCGTCCGAGGCTCTCGAGGGCAACGTAAATGTATTAAATAGATAATAATAGTTCTATGGTGGGCTAAAACAATGTTCACAAACAGCATTGCTTCTGTAAAAAGATCTGTGTCATAAAATAAACTGCTCTTTACGCCTGGAAAAATCAGTTGCCCACCATTCACCAAAACATACGGTCAAAAACGCGGAAATAAACAATAACAGCAATCCAGAGTGTCCGTGTGGCATTAGCATTAATTAAATTAATTGTTAATATAATTACAATAATTAAATGGAGCTCCAACTGGTATTAAATCTAAAGTTTTTGAGAAATGTTTGCATTGCTTGTTAATTTTTGCTGCATAATTTGATCAAATATGTAAAACATGTCCGTAGCACGTTAAACTGTGGTGCCATTGTATTAATATACAATTATTTGCTCAAAAGTTGCCCTTTTTTTCCAATTTGCGTTTGAATATCTACATTTATTCTCATTCTTCTGTTTAATGGAATGCACAAACACAGCAGCGTGCCATCAAAGATGGCGTCTCCGAGGAGGTCATGTGACATTCATTGGTCTGTGGGAACTATGTATATAAAGAAAGATTACTTACTTCTGCGTATGGTCAGTCTGATGTTACTTCCTGAGTAGGCGTGGTCAGTCTGATTCCTTCCTGAGTAGGCGTGGTCAGTCTGATGTTACTTCCTGAGTAGGCGTGGTCAGTCTGATGTTACTTCCTGAGTAGGCGTGGTCAGTCTAATGTTACTTCCTGAGTAGGCGTGGTCAGTCTGATTCCTTCCTGAGTAGGCGTGGTCAGTCTGATGTTACTTCCTGAGTAGGCGTGGTCAGTCTGATGTTACTTCCTGAGTAGGCGTGGTCAGTCTGATGTTACTTCCTGAGTAGGCGTGGTCAGTCTAATGTTACTTCCTGAGTAGGCGTGGTCAGTCTGATTCCTTCCTGAGTAGGCGTGGTCAGTCTGATGTTACTTCCTGAGTAGGCGTGGTCAGTCTGATGTTACTTCCTGAGTAGGCGTGGTCAGTCTGATGTTACTTCCTGAGTAGGCGTGGTCAGTCCGATGTTACTTCCTGAGTAGGCGTGGTCAGTCTGATGTTACTTCCTGAGTAGGCGTGGTCAGTCTGATGTTACTTCCTGAGTAGGCGTGGTCAGTCTGATGTTACTTCCTGAGTAGGCGTGGTCAGTCTGATGTTACTTCCTGAGTAGGCGTGGTCAGTCCGATGTTACTTCCTGAGTAAGCGTGGTCAGTCCGATGTTACTTCCTGAGTAAGCGTGGTCAGTCCGATGTTACTTCCTGAGTAGGCGTGGTCAGTCTGATGTTACTTCCTGAGTAGGCGTGGTCAGTCCGATGTTACTTCCTGAGTAGGCGTGGTCAGTCCGATGTTACTTCCTGAGTAGGCGTGGTCAGTCCGATGTTACTTCCTGAGTAGGCGTGGTCAGTCCGATGTTACTTCCTGAGTAGGCGTGGTCAGTCCGATGTTACTTCCTGAGTAGGCGTGGTCAGTCTGATGTTACTTCCTGAGTAGGCGTGGTCAGTCTGATGTTACCTCCTGAGTAGGCGTGGTCAGTCTGGCGTGGTCAGTCTGATTCCTTCCTGAGTAGGCGTGGTCAGTCTGATTCCTTCCTGAGTAGGCGTGGTCAGTCCGATGTTACTTCTTGAGTAGGCGGTCAGTCCGATGTTACTTCCTGAGTAGGCGTGGTCAGTCCGATGTTACTTCCTGAGTAGGCGTGGTCAGTCTGATGTTACTTCCTGAGTAGGCGTGGTCAGTCTGATGTTACTTCCTGAGTAGGCGTGGTCAGTCTGATGTGTGCCTTGCCCTGTGGTCTATACCTTATCTATAATAATATCTGGATAGATCATTACTAGCATAGCTGTAACACCCTGTCAATGTTTTTATAGTTGTATGTCAAAATGTGATGCAGGTTCAAAATAAATCATTACTTTGCAAAACTATACTAACATTTTATCCACACATTTACATCCTTTGAGGTTAAAAAAGGATGAAAAAGCAAAGCAAAGGCACTCAAGAGCTCAAGAGCCACAACATAACACAAATAATGAACAATATCCGTCTCTTAGAAGCTTTCTCCATCTCCCTGTCACTTTGCGACGCTCCTGGAGCAGATGCAGAGGGCACAGCTGGCCCCTCCCCTGGTCCCTCCCCTGGCCCCTCCCCTGGCCCCTCCCCTGGCCCCTCCCCTGGCCCCTCCCCTGGCCCCTCCCCTGGCCCCTCCCCTGGTCCCTCCCCTGGCCCCTCCCCTGGCCCCTCCCCTGGCCCCTCCCCTGGCACCTCCCCTGGCCCCTCCCCTGGCCCCTCCCCTGGCCCCTCCCCTGGCACCTCCCCTGGCCCCTCCCCTGGCACCTCCCCTGGTCCCTCCCCTGGCCCCTCCCCTGGCCCCTCCCATGGCCCCTCCCCTGGCCCCTCCCCTGGCACCTCCCCTGGCCCCTCCCCTGGCACCTCCCCTGGCCCCTCCCCTGGCCCCTCCCCTGGCATCACCGACACAGACTCTGTAATGTATGCAGCCTCACACACCAGGACCGGAGCATAATGGGAGGGTGGTTGAGGATTTCCTTGGTGGATTGGGTCTTGTGTCTTTGCACAGGGAGCTCCAGCTGCTTGTGGGGGACCAGCCTTTTGTGCAGAAAGTGGAAGAACAGTCCAAAGACCGGCTGCGAGACATGTGTCCTGGGTGTGCGCTGAATGGGCTCGGTGCATGTAAAGTGAGTTAAGCCTTTATAAGCTACACGCCAAGGCCAAACATGAGTGTGTGTGGAAACAAGCTTTCATCTGACAATACGTGGAATACAAAATGAGCCACCGCTGCTAACACATCTTCACTTGTTTTGTAAAAGATATGTACAGAGAAAATACCAGCAGCATTAGACCAAGCCACTTCATGTTTTATTCAATGCTTTTTCCTGCTTCGAGCACAAAAGACAATTGGAGACGATCTTTAGTATTTGCATGGACTTAATGTAGACGGTGTACAACCCTACTCGTAAATAACCTTGTAACTTGTAAATAAAAGCATACAGACAATTAGAAAGAGTTGCAAATACAGTGATTTAATTCTACTGTGGTCTGTTCAGCAAGAATTAAAGTAGCAACATGTAAAATCATCATTAAATGTCAAAGGCATTGAAAAAAAAACACTTGTTATTATTCTCAAATCATTAATAACAAAACAAGGAATAAAACGAGGATTTCTATCTTTGTGAAAAACTCTATTCAGCTGTTATGGTCCGAGCTGGATTCGTCTGCATATCTGGCAACCTGAGTCAGGGAGAGTGCAGTACCTCTTGTTTTGACCAGATTTTACATACTGCTCCTTTAAGTGAATGATCTAATCTATTTCAAAGACCTAGGTCACTTAATCCTGAACACTTCCAGGTTCAGGTTTCTTTATCTCTGTCTGTACATTTGTGTTGTGGTTGTTTTAGACACACTTTCGTACAAATGTTCAACAAAGTGAGTATTTCTCAGTTATGACAGTCTTGGACAGCTCCAGGCGTCGAATTCAAATGGAGACAGTACTGATAGTTTTGTGTGTGTTATCTTTTGAAAACAAATATGTGTCGTGTACAGTGTTCATGGTTTTACACTGGTCCAGACCAGAGCAGAGAGGATTCATGGTTTTACACTGGTCCAGACCAGAGCAGAGAGGATTCATGGTTTTACACTGGTCCAGACCAGAGCAGAGAGGATTCATGGTTTTACACTGGTCCAGACCAGAGCAGAGAGGATTCATGGTTTTACACTGGTCCAGACCAGAGCAGAGAGGATTCATGGTTTTACACTGGTCCAGACCAGAGCAGAGAAAATGGTCCAAACCAAGCGGCTCGACCTCTGCTGCTGTGACCTGAAGGACTCACTGTTGTCAGCTTTTTAGAATGATCAATTTATTAGTTTAGTTTGTGTGGATGGATGTGTTTTTGCTGCTGCTGAACACCTGCATTTCTCCGACAGGGATCAATAAAGTATCTATCTATCTTGTGAAGAAATGAGGAAAAATCCACTCTTGACATTAAAATAGAAATGCTTTAATGAGTCGGGATCTTCTTCATGGTTTAAGATAGCAGGGACCAGGTGTGGTTTAAATCTAATCAGCACCTGTCACATGATCTACACACAGCATAATAAAACATATATAAAATAGAAAACATAAAACATGCAAACATTTGTCTTGTTCTGTATTTAAAGTTAAAGAAAGGTGTCATTCCTGCAGCATATGAAGTCAAGTGGACGTTGTGTTTGTAGATGTAGGTTCTTCAAGGTGCCCTCGGGTAAAGCTCCGGGTCCAGCTCGGCTTCATTAGTCCAAAACTATAAATCACAGAGCCTGAATTGGATCCAGGGCGAGCAGAGTTGTCCTGTTTCCTAATGGCTGCAACCTCACGGAGCTAAGTGGAAAGACTCCTCACTCCAGCCCAGTGAATGTGAGCCGGCAGCTGGGGCCCGGCGAGCTCTGGCCCCTGTCCCAGACTCTGACACTCTCCACACTGCAAAAAAAAGCGTATGAAATATTTGTATCTAGACCAGTTATGTCAAACTCAGGCCCGTGGGCCAAATTCAACCGGCAAGACCATATTTAGTGGTCCCCATAATGATTTTCATGTTTCATTATTACAGTAGTTTGCAGCATTGAAGGTAATGGGATACTGTCGCATGTTATACTGCATTTTAAAGCTTATTTTTTCAGTTATGTTAAGTCAGATTCATTTCAAACCTTCAGAACACAATTCCACATATCTTTGAGAAGGTTTGAGAAGGTGAGGTCAAAGATTCTTCTTGATAATTAGCTCAATTTTGGCTTAATCCAAATTGGCCTAGCCTGATATTATGCATCTGTAAACTCCAGCCAATTCTCAATTATCAGACCCAGACCTACATGTATCATTTCCTACATGTACGTCTGGGTCTGATCCTAGTGGCTGCAGTTTCCTCGGTTGAATCCCCTACGACCAATCAGAGAGCGGGGGAGGCGGGTGTTGTAGGGAAGTGTCGGAGATGTGAAAGCGTTTGCGCCGAATTTGCTGGTTGTAGTTTGTCGGAGAATGTGATAGTAAAGAAATCCGTTCTGGTTCAACTCCAAGTATCAAGAAATCAAAGCTGTAGCAAGAAGAATGTTTAGTAAATGTCATTGCTGCAAAGATGTTGTGGTTCTACTCCCCACTGGCTCCGTTATTGACAAAGAAAATGGCTAAAGCTAGGCTAAATGCTAGCAACTCACTCAGGCGCATTACATACATCAGGGTAAACTCAGATCCAACCAATTCAATCAATTCAAACCCCTCCCACCTGTTAAGAGAGACCTTAGTAAAAAAATGAAATGTATGATGGTGTGGTAAGACCAGGCTAAAACTGACCAGAAAATAACATCTAAACTCACGTCAAATAAAATGAATGTCAAAATACAAAATAGTATAAGAAAACCACTTACGTTTTTATATGTGTGGGGGCTTTTCTCAGAAGTCCATTGTTTGTGATGGAAGCAGTCTGAATGGTGAATAGAGTTCTGTAGCTTCAGAATTCTGGTCTTCTTGTTGTTGAACTGTTTTACGCCCCACAGTGCTCTTGAATACAAACATAATGATAGATTTTGCAGTGTGAGGCGAGGACCAGAGCAGCTGCTGGGGCCCGAGATCTGGTGTTAATGAGATAATCAGGCCTCAGCTCTGACGGAGATTCCCTCTGACACTATGTAAATGTGGACAACAACATTCAGCTCATCACGACACACGGCATTAGAGCTGAGGAGGGGAGGTCAGGGCGGGCTCTCAGGGCACGGCTGGGGCTCCACACGCTCAATATACACAAGACTAACGAGGATCTATCTCACCAGCCTTTTTAGATGTGACATATTGTGCTAAATCTACAGCAGATTTAAGATTAGAACTCCCAGAGCAGTTGATTTGACAGCTTTTAGTGTTGGAGGTGTAATTACGCAGCAAGTGTACCTTCAGGGGTCTTCTTTTCATAACTGAGACTTTCTCTGCTTCAGAGCTACTGTTGACTTGCTGCTGTTAAGGTAAAAAAAAGTACTATCATATAATGTAAGTATGTGAAACGTACAATCTTTTGAAAACGAAACACAATTGAAGTTGCAGACACCACTTTTAATAATTCTTATTAGTTTGCACTGTTTCTGAGATCTTTTTGCATATTTTGAAATCCCCTTTCTCACAGCATGATCCCAGATGTAGAAATACCGCAGGGCTCCGGCCCCAAACACTCGCAGAAGTACAACTTGTAAACGAACACCAGCTTAAGTTATTTTCCTCCTCATTCCCACTTTGAAGTCGGCTGCGAACGCTGCTCTAATCTGTGCCAGTGTTGTACTGCGAGCAGAGCTGAGGAGGAGGCTTTGAAGAGGCCAAGGAAAGAATTTGGACCAAGAACGAAATGGAAATGTTGTTTTTTTAATCTTGCAAATGCTATTTCCAGCAAACGCACCGTGTTATCTGAAAGCAAATCAGATCGATGCGAGGCCTTGAACCCAATGGAAGGTTTTCTGTTGTGGAAGCTCCAGCCTTTTAGGTAATTACAGACTGAAAATGTGTTCTCTTCATTATGAATGGAATGGATCTGTTTTGTCGTTTCACTCATTTAACTAAACTGGTGGTGGGTCCACAGGATGATGGCTTCTCTGTCGTTGTAGTCATGGCCTTGGTCTTTCAGCGCGGGCTCTAGGTAACGTGGTTTTAAGTGTCTTGCCCAGGGACACGACAACAGCAGACATCAGTGGGGGCAGGGTTGTGGGGGATAATTCTTTAACACTAATTAGTTTATAGATATACATAGGATTAAAGAAATGGCATTGAACTTTGGGAGACACAGTCATGTTGGAGGAAGAATGAACAGGACAGAAGACTATTCAATGGTTAATGGTTGGAGACTAATTATAGATTATACAAAAAAATATGATTCAATAACTTCAGACAAACTGGGCGTTGTGGACGTAACACTTTCGTCCACTTATTGTTACGTCCAAAACGACTCGAGCTGTTACTAGTCCGAGCGTGAATGAATCTGTGTTTACGTAGTGCTTTTCTGTCTCATTGACCTGAATCTAACCCATTGGTACAGTTCAGTGTGGAGTGAGTCCTACACAAGAATTAATTACATTGATTCGGTGAAGTATTTTGCCTGAGGACACAACAATAATTTGGCACTTTACAGTTGCACTTGTTGTTCCCAGAGGTCTCCCATCACAGTACTAACCAGGCTCTGGTCTTTATTTACTGTAAAAGTTTTTGAGTTTTTAGTTCTGCTCCAACTGCTGCCCCTGCAACCCGGCAACGGATAAAGCAGAGGAAAATGGATGGAGATGAATTGATCAAATGGTCCTTACACACAGACAGCTGAGGCCCCAGAACTCACTGCTTCACTGACTCACACAGACTTTAACTTCCTTTGGTCTGTGAATGTCTGTGATACAGTCTTGATTTGTCAGCACTGAGCAGAGTTTTGCACAAAGGAAAAAAATATCAGCAGATTGCCAACTTGCACTGTGG